ATATTGCTGGTGTTCCCTTTCTTTTAGATGGGTTAAAATTAAAATTCATGGCTGGATTTATTGGTGCTAATCAAGAAATCCTTGAAGGTTCTAATGGTGAATCTGTTGTTTCTCCTGTGAATGGATGGTCTATTATTGATAATCCAAATGACTCTAATGAATCTGATGAGTACTATGATTAAATTTACGAATATAAACACTATCAACATTAGCAGTGTGGAGTTTACCGGGATATGATTCGATTGTCATTTCTTGAATCTCATTACGATAAGTCTGAGTCTCAGCTTTTCGTAATGGTCAATTGGATTATCACGCACTGTCGGACCGGAGTAGTTAGAAAGACTAACTGTGTCCAACTCACAGCTCTGGTTGATGGTGCATGTTTGTCGAATTTTGCTAATCTCTTTCTTTTATTTATAAATACAAAAATGATATGTGATGAATAAAACCGATTATTATATGATTTTATAAATTTTATGATGCTATTAGATATATATATATATATTAAATTTTATTCTTTACATTACCACTTTCCTGACAAATAAAATCCCGACAAAAATTGACTGGAACTTAGAGATGTGATCATTATCCGTTTTCCTATTTAAAAATTACGGATACAGTATGGATTTTTTATAATAATATTATTCTTAGTAAAGTTTTAGAGATGGGAACTAACAAAACATATTTATTTAAAAGTTAAAACAGAAAGTTTACAATAAATTTTATATTTCATCAAATTCAAATGATCATATGATCCTATGATCTCACGGATCCATGGGTCCGTGAAACCATGTGGCGTAACTTTTTAAAGAATAAGAAAATGATGTGAGCTTTAATTTTGAATAAACTAGTAGGCAAACAAAAAGTACATCGGAACTGGATATTGTACTAAGTAAACCTTCCTTCGAGCTTAACAAAAGTTGTTCTAAAGAACAACTTTTGTTAAGCTCGAAGGAAGGTTTACTTAGTACAATATCCAGTACCGATGTATTTTTTTTTCTAAATCTTAACTATAAAAAAATATCTTTTATTATGGGGTGATGGGCTTAAAAATTAAAAATAAATTTAATCCATAGCTGTATTTGGAGCGTTTAACAATAA